ACTGCAGCCCTGATCAGTGCTGCTGTGGCTCCTTCTGGACCTCCTGGTTCCTGCTCACACTGGGCTGCACTGGGTTCTAGCTGCTCACTGGTCTTCTGGATCATTCTCCATCTTTGTCCAGTCTCTCAGTCAGATGTTTCTCCTCCTCTGTTCAGGTCTTCTCCATGTGGAGTCATGATGCAGACATAGATAGACACAGTCCAGAGGTCCAGAACTGAGAAGGTTCTGCTGCTCTCATCTCGTTGTAGAACCATGTTCATGCAGGTAGACTGATGGGAACCACAGCTGGACTCAGTTTGGTTTTTTGAGGTTCTTCTTCTTTCTTTGTTCATCATCTTTTCACTTCCTTCTCTTCTTCTTCTTCTTCTTCTTCTTCTTCTTCTTCTTCTGTCCATTATCCTGCTCTCCGTGTTAAGAGCCTCTCTCTCTGTGTTGTACTTCAGTGGGCGAGAGACTACAGCCTCTAATTAACCACTTCAGTTCCTCTCCTCGCTCACTTCACCTGCTCGCCCCCTCGTAACCACGGGAACGGGATAAACAGCTCTTAATTGGCCGGCGGCAGTTTAATGCACTTCCTGTCGAGAGCTGTTCACCACAAACACACACACACACACACACACACACACACACACTAGAAAATTGGCAGTAATGTTGTTTGTATTTACCCATTATCTCTGTCCAAACATGACACGCACACGCTGCAGTAATGCGAGCTGGAACACAGAGCTCGGCTGTAATGAAATAATTGCTCAGCTTATTTGTACATTATGGTAATTATGTTTTTTACTGGGAAATTAATTTACCCATCATGCTTCAGATGGACGAGGGAGAGCGAGGTAAACTATATTCAAAGCGAGCCCACACACACTCCAGCTAATGTGGGCTCTGCCAGCACCGGGGTCACATCTGAAGCCAGCCTCTCAATCTGAATAGAAAACAGTTTGTTTTTGTGTGGCCGCTCCGAGAGCTCCCATTGGTTAATTGGGCCTCGTTAGCGAGGGGGGGTTTGATGGACGAGAGAGAAAAGACAGATGGATAAAAGAGTGTTTGGGCCAAAAGACAAAGATGGCTCCACTCCATAAACTCTCCTGTGACGGACAAACTGATGAAACCACGTTTGGTTTTAATTGATCAGCAGCTGTTTGTAAAAGTTTCAGAACCGAGTTCAGCAGCAGAGACGTCACTTCTACTAGAACCACGACCACTGCAGCACACAGCAGCAGCAAGTACAGCCTGTGTAGTAGTACTGGAGCACCTCTCAGTAATCAGATTACTTGTAAGTAGAACAGCAGAGTATTCCTTCTCATAAACAAGCTGAGAGCAGCAGAACCTTCTCAGTTCTGGACCTCTGGACTGTGTCTATCTATGTCTGCATCATGGCTCCACATGGAGAAGACCTGAACAGAGGAGGAG